GTTAGTTCCTTCATGGGAATTAGTGTTTTCCATCTCTTTGGCTGTATAGTAGACTTTAAGAGACAAAACAGTTTTCTTTGATTTGTTAATGCAAATTGGTTCTTCTTTAATTCCCCTCAGATCTCCATAAACCTACAAAAGCAAAGAAATTACCCATATATACTCGAGTATAAGCTGACCCGAATATAAGCCGAGGCACCTAATTTTACCACAAAAACTGGGAAAATGCATTGACTCGAATATAAGCCAAGAGTGGGAAATGCAGCAGCTACTGGTCAATTTCAAAATAAAACTAGATACCAATAAAATTACATTAATTGAGGTACCAGTAGGTTAAATGTTTTTGAATATTTACATAAAACTGTAATGTAAGACTGCCCAGCTCTGATGAAACCATTATTCTAGCCTCCTTCAATGTAAATGTGCTTACGTATCCTTCCAATAATAATAAAGAGAGCAAAATAATAAATTTAATAGCAATAATAAATAGAGTAAAATAATAAATGTAATAAAAATAATAGAGTAAAATAATGTAAATGTAATAATATCAATAATAACAGAGTAAATAATAAATGTAATAAAAATAATAATAGAGTAATAACATAAATATAGTAAAATTATACTAATAACAGAGTAAAATAATAAATAACCTTGGCTCAAGTATAAGCCAAGGGGAGCTTTTTCAGCCTAAAAAGGGGGCTGAAAAACTAGGCTTATACTCGAGTATATACAGTATTTATAGTTCAGTCCATTGTAGCTCCATTTTGTAACAACTATAGCACCAACAGAATTACAGAAACAATTTAATTTGTAATTTTCTGGAAAAAAAATCCTTTTGGTATAGCAAACATGATAAATGTATGCCAGGCAAATTATACACATGACATTTTAAATTCCTAAAGTAACAAACTGTCCTTCAGTATGTAAACAGGGCTAAAACCGACATTTTCCATATTTTTTCAGAAACTGTCTGGGAGGTTTTTGAGGTGAGAGGAGTAAGAGGATGGATTTGCTTTCTTTCCTGAAGTTTTACAGCTCTGATCAGTACATAATGAAATACACTGTTGTGGCCCTCTACAAGGACCCAGAATTAGTATTGTGCCTTTCTATAGAATCGCTATCCATTTTGGTTTGTTTCATTCGTATGTCCCCATTTTCGTTTTTGAGCTCTGCTTCCAAAAACGGGGGCCTTTCTGAATGAGCTGGTTTTTTTTTTCTTTCATCTGAATGAAACATTTTCTAACCATTGGTCAACATGGGCAGCCTTTCCAGGCTCCCCTTCCCCTCAATTTTAGGACTAGAGAGGTGAAAAGCACCACACATAGAGGGCACATCGACCACTCTTCATCCACCAAGTTTTCTAACATTTGGCTCATCCCCTGATTTTTAGGGATTTTTTCTTTCTATAAATAAAATCTCCTTAAAAACATTCCTTCTTTCTCTTCCTCTCAATCTGCAGATGAGCCCTGAGGTTAAAGGCAGGGCTTAAGATACCACTGATTCCGAGAGGTTTTCCTCTGGCTATGTGAAGGAGACCTATAGCCTTGTGATGTCACTGTTTTCTTGGGCTCTGATTGGCCCAAACACCTTCTCCTCTGACGCATGTGGAAGAACTGCCTGGGCCGCATGAGGAAAGACACACTACCTAAAAACCAAACAAAGAAAGGGGAACCATGCAACTTTCTCTTTCGAATTGTCTTTTGTTTCATCCAAAAATGGCTCTTTTGTTTTGTGCCATCAAATGGATGGTACAAAACAAATACGCAAATGAAACAAATGGAACAAATACTGTGCCCACCTCTACCCAGAATCCCTTACTCTAGAGAAAGAGTATGTGTCCACTTCCAGGGCATTTGGGTATAGATTGTGCTGCACTATTCATATAGCCATACTAGCAACCTTAAAGGCAACAGTCAGGGTGTGGCTCTGTAGAGTCAAATGTCACACCACAGGGAAAATACAGAAGGATTATATTGTCAAAAAAAGACCTAGTGGCGGTAATGCTGATAATACCAGCTTTTCTTCTATGGCTGAAGCCATTTCTACCTATGGTGCATGCACCACTGTTTTCCCATGAATCCTCTGGGGAGTGCCTCGGGTGCTTTAGGGAAACTGGTCATGCCTTGCCCTTGTTGTGGCATACTGGTGAATCACAAGTTGCAAAAATTCAGAAAGATTTTATTTTTGGACACATAACACCATAAAAAGCAAAAACCAACATGATCAGCTTGAAGTTGCAAGGATGTTGCCCAGGGGATGCCCAGATGTTTTGATGTGTTACCATCCTTGTGGGAGGCTTCTCTCATGTCCCCGCATGAGGAACTGGAGCTGATAGAGGGAGCTCATCCACGCTCTCCCCGATTCAAACCTGCGACCTGTTCATACTTCAGTTCTGCCGGCACAGGGGTTTAACCCACTGCGCCATCAGGGGCTCCATAGTTTTAGGATGCAACACACAAATGGTTCCAGAAGTATAAGAGACAGAAACATAAAAAAAAAACTCCTTATAGAAGGATAGGCAATTGTATTCAATGCTAACCAGTCTCTCCCATCATCGTCACCACCATCATTTACATAGCACTTTTGCTGTACATGATTCTTTACAAGTAAAGACCAGTTTTCTGCCCTGAGGCATAAATCTAATTAAGACATAACACAAAAGGAAAAGGGTCTCATAGTGTGAGACAGGTTTGGGTCCTGCTTTTTCTCTCTCATTAAGGTCAAGCCGATGGCAGTTGAGATTAAGAAGAGCATTTCATCTGCTTCTGTGTCTAGGCATAATGGAACTATACAGTAGACCCTTGGTATCCTCTGTGCTTTAATTCTAGGATCCTCTGTGGATACCAAAATCTGTGGGTACTCAGGTGCCATTATATAAATAGGCATAGTATAATGATGTCCCTTATACAAAATGGTGGAAACAGGTGCTGCAGAGACTTAAGGATCTGTGAACTGGTGAGAGGGCAATAGCAGGATATGCTTACACATCAGCATGCTGCTTTGTGCACAGCAAAATCAAGGTTTGCTTTTGGGAATTGTTTAGTATTATTTTCAAGTGGTTGATTGAATCTGTAAGTGCAGAACCTGTGGATGCAGAGGGCTGGCTGTACCTGCTTCTTTTTTTCCTCTGAGGCCAAGTCAGTGAGGTTAGAGAGCGAGGTCTTTCAACTGCTTCTGGGCAAAGACATGATGGAGCTGTGCTTGTCTCTTCTCATAAACTCACAGTAGCTGATGCACCAGCCACATCAATAATTTCCATAAACAATTGGTGCACATTGTCAAAAGGAAAGTATGAAACTGCTGAATGTAAGCATGGAGAATTTAGATATTGAAGCCTTGGTGATTTCATCTCTGTGTGGCCTTGGTTTCCAGGAAAACCCTGTGGGCTGAGACGGGGGTTTCCTTTTGTGAGAGCAGTGAACCTTGCACTATGTTATGTGAGTTGCCTTTCATACTGTCAGGCTGCTTTAACTAGAGCAGTGATTCCCTATCTTTTTTTGACCAGTGACCAGGGACCCACTTGACCAGGGACCACTTTGCTCTCCAACATTAGTACAAAAAGGGTTAAAGATCAGTTTTTGGTCAACTTTAGATTCAGTTTGGTTATTTGGGGTGCTGATTCAGAAAATTGCATTGGATAGACCACATAAGGTCTAGTTTCTGATACAGAACATATGCCACCCAGTAAGCACCATCTGCTCACCCACAGAAAACCATATTTAATAAGCCTCAGCACTATAAGAGGGTTTCGAGAGACCAGTCTCTCCTGTTGCAACAGTGTAGTGAAGGTGAGACCGTCAACCATATTTTAGTTCTTGCAGACCACTGGTGGTCCACGGACCACAGGTTGGGAACTACTGACCTAGAAAGATCCTTGTGAATTTTTAGTGTGTACTCCACTCCAAACAACACTAGTACAAAATATGTACTAGGAATACCCACAGGCTTGCATGTGTTTCCAGATGCTTCAAAACATGTCCTGGTATGTGTGTCTCTGTGTGCATCTCCATAATCTGTATTCCAGCTTTCATGTGTCTTCACTTTCATAAAACACACATAAAGTGGGTGATTTTGCCCCTTCTTTGAGATTGTGGGTTTCATATGTGTACTGTGGGTACCATGGAAACACGGATGCAGGTTTGACACACTCTCCTATTTTGTATCGGGTGTTCATTGGAGATTTGGGCAAGGGGCTACGAGTAATAAGTACAAGCATAGCTTTCCATGTATATTAACAAATATGTTCCTGCATTCTCCTTTGTCCATTTCTACTTTTACAAAGCGTGATCATGCTATCAAGGTGGGGGCAGGCATGTAGCTGGGGGGGGGGCTTGGGGGGCTTCAGCCCTCCCCCCCCGAAATTCTCATGGTGGTTCGCGAAAAGGCCTTACTGGTGCATTATTTAAATTGTTATGTTTATTCATATCATGATCTGATCACCATACTCAATATATCCCATATGCATGGGGGTATTGGGGTAACGATACAAAAGGTTTGCTAGGGTAGACCCTCTTTCACTCAGACTCCCCCCCCCCCCGAAACAAACACCGCCCCCCCCCCCCCCGAATTGAAATCCTGGCTACGGGCCTGGTTGGGGGCATTTTTTGGGCAGGTGCAAAAGCACAGGTCACTTACCAAACTAGCTGCTCCTCTTGGCTGTGACCCACAGAACCTGCAGCTACCTGTAGAAAGTGTTGCAGTTCCCTGGAGTGGCTGTGGCATAATCCTTTGACCTGAATTCCTAGTGGAGATAAATCATTGTAACTGGTAAGAGAAATGCACATGAAAGCTGGAATACAGATTATGGAGATGCACACAGAGACACGCAGACTTAAACAGGGTCACTGTGACCTTTAAGATTTCAACCTGCCCCTGATATTTTTTGATCTTGCAGGTCACAGTGTTCAGTATTTAATGCCGGTATTTAATTGGGATGGATATATAGCTTTACCATTCATTGCCAGGAATTCGTCTAACTAATCTTTGTCATTATTCAACAGGTAATTGGAAAAACAACTTCCTCAGCATGAATTTTTTCCTGGAAACACTGAGATTCATTGTCCTCTATATATATTTCTCACTGGAGGCTGTCGTTTTATTATTTATCCCTGTCCGTAAAAAGAATGTTGTTGGTGAGATAGTGCTTATAACTGGAGCTGGCAGTGGAATCGGGAGGCTTATGGCTTTAAAATTTGCTCGCCTTGGAGCCACTTTGGTTCTCTGGGATATCAACCTGGAAGGGAACAAAGAGACTGCCAGGCTGGCAAGAAAAAACGGAGCTTCTAGAGTACATGATTACATTTGTGACTGCAGCAAAAGGCAAGAGATCTACCGAACAGCAGATCAGGTAACTCTGTAATTTGCATAACATTTTGTTTGGTCATTATGCACTTTAGGGTATGCTGTTGTGGCATTTAAATAGTTCAGGAAATTAAACAATAAATATAATGTCTGCAGAGGGGAAGGGCATGGGAAGGCTATTCTCTGCCCCACAAAGCCATTCACTCACATTCACATCTTCCATTTAAAAAACAATGCAGTTCTGGTTCTTGAAATATGAGAGAAAGAAAATCACTGTCACAATTCTGCCACTTTGGTTTTCTTTTTAAAGCATGCAGCCTACTTGTCATAGTAATGATTTATCTCTGGTTAAAATGTCCTTTTTAATGTTATATTTTGAAAATTTTGATATGTGCATGTTATTGTATTCCTAGCCAACCATGTACTGCCACCTGAATGATTTGGTACCTTTTGGAAACAAACTCCACATATATTCTATCCTTAATCAGTGATCCATGAGACTGCAGAACTATTTTGCTTGTATTAATTGTGAAAAAGTTACTATATATTTAGAGCACAAATCAGTGTCAATTGCTATAATGTGAGAGAGGGTGAAATTTAAAGAAAAGTCATGGGTAGGAAGGATGTAATGAATCCTCGACTCAGAGCTTTTATATTCTCTAAACCCTTTCTCTAAACCAAGTTGCTTTTCTGTTCCTCAAGATTTGGAAGCAAAAATCAAGACGTATCCATTGGATAATGGTTGCTTTTATGTTCCTGGTCTCAAGTTTTGATGGACATAAAAGCAAGTATGTTGGGAAGGCACATGTATATACAAACATCTCTCCATTAATTACCAGTTTTTTATGAAGCCACTGACCCATATCCCAGATTTTACCATGGTACTTGCAGATTATACCATGGCCCCTATTCTAACTTGTAGCATTCCATATGTTTTGTATCACTGTGATTTTCCACATGAAATGCTACATTATCAAATGTTTCTCTTAGCAGTTTCTTATCAGCAAAGGAGCACTCAAATAATTCCATTTGTTTAAGAGCCAGGCCTGTAGCGGGGGGGGGGGGGGGTTTAAAAAAAACAACTATTTTTGGCCTTACCTTGTATGTAAAAATGTCTTCCTTCATGATGGAAGATTTTGGCCTGCATCAATAGGAGCATAGTGTCTAGATCTAGGGAAGTCATGCTACCCCTCTATTCTGCTTTGGTTAGACCACACCTGGAATATTGTGTCCAATTCTGGGCACCACAATTCAAGAGAGATATTGACAAGCTGGAATGTGTCCAGAGGAGGGCGACTAAAATGATCAAGGTCTGGAGAACAAGCCCTATGAGGAGCGGCTTAAGGAGCTGGGCATGTTTAGACTGAAGAAGAGAAGGCTGAGAGGAGATATGATAGCCATGTATAAATATGTGAGAGGAAGCCACAGGGAGGAGGGAGCAAGCTTGTTTTCTGCTTCCTGGAGACTAGGACGGAACAATGGCTTCAAACTACAAGAGAGGAGATTCCATCTGAACATGAGGAAGAACTTCCTGACTGTGAGAGCCGTTCAGCAGTGGAACTCTCTGCCCTGGAGTGTGGTGGAGGCTCCTTCTTTGGAAGCTTTTAAACAGAGGCTGGATGGCCATCTGTCAGGGGTGATTTGAATGCAATATTCCTGCTTCTTGGCAGGAGGTTGGACTGGATGGCCCATGAAGTCTCTTCCAACTCTTTGATTCTATGATTCTATGATTTGCTAAAAAAAAAGTCGTCCCCCCCACCCCATTTTTTTTTCTGGCTACGGCCCTGTTAAGAGCTGTCACATAAACTCTGTGCAAAGCCTTTTTTAAAATTCACATGACTATTTTATACCACTTCTTCACAAAGGAACATTTAGTATATCACAAAGGATTTTATTTATGTATTTATTTACTACATTTATATGCCACCCTTCTCACCCCAAAGGGGACTCAGAGCGGCTTACAAGTTATAATTGTTTCTTATTTGTGCACTACTTTTTTTTTGCCACCTTATCCGCTTTATAGGAAATGTGCTACAAAACAGGAGATTTTTGTTAAGTTCCAGGGCCTGAGAAGCAGATGGCGAAGACAGAAGAATTGCCTGCTCCAGGGTGCTTGTTTCATCAATGTTTGACATTTACACAAATGATCAGCCACTGCCAGAAGGGACATAGAGTTTCATCTGTGCTAATGATCTTGCCATCATTGCTCAAGCAGGGAGCTTTGAAATGGTTGAACAGAAGCTCTCCAAAGCTTTAGGTGTTCTAACTACCTGTTACAGGGAAAACCAGCTGATTCCTAATCCATCTAAAATGCAGATGTGTGCTTTTCATCTTAAGGACAGACAAGCATCTCAAGCTCTGAGGATTACCTGGGAAGGAATCATACTGGAGCATTGCAGCACACCAGAATTCCTGGGAGTTACTCTGGACTGTGCTCTGACGTATACGGTTTTATTATCAAGCAAAAAATGGGTGCTAAAAATAATATCATAGGAAGCCTTACTGGCACAACCAGACACTGTGAAGACATCTGCCCTTGTGCTTTGCTACACAGCTGCTGAATATGCATATTCAATGTGGAATACATCTCACCACACTAAAACAGTGGATATGGCTCTCAATGAGAGATGCTGCATTACCACAGGATGTGTATGCCCTATGCCATTGGAGAAATTATACTGTTTAGCCAGTATTGCACCACCTGACATCTGCCGGGAAGTAGCAACTGGCCCATTCTCTGCTAAGATATCAGCCAGCATGGCAGCGACTAAAATCAAGAAATAGTTGTCTAAGATACTCACATAACACTTCAGCAAGCAAGAGTCCAAAAGTAGCAAGAACCTCAAACACTGGCTGATAACAGATGAGAAACTCCTTCCTGGGCACACAGAAGACATGGTGACTTGGAAGGCACTGAAGAGACTGCGCTCTGCTACCAAAAGATGCAGAGCCAATCTTAAGAAATGGGGCTATAAAGTGGAGTCCACGACATGCGAGTCTGGAGAAGAGCAAACCACAGACCACCTGCTGCAATGCAACCTGAACCCTGCTACATGCACAATGGAGGACCTTCTTACAGAAGCACCAGAGGCAATCGAAGTAGCCAGCTTCTGGTCAAAGGAAATTTAGCATAATGCCAAGTTTTTTAACTTTTTTTGTTTGTTTTTTATGTATTATAATTGTATCAATGCACTTCTGACATAATTTTTAAAAAATCAAAGGAACAATGCTGATTATAATTAGATTGCAAAATGTGGTGCTAATGAAAAAAGTAGAAATTTGAGAGCAAGAATATCATGTTACTGTTTTCAATTTCTTAGATTGGGGCTGATCTTGGTTATCAATTGCTATCCTTTTTAACTGTGCATGTGCTTAAAATGTCATGGTTTGACACATATTATGATCAACTGTCATTCTTCTAGGTGAAAAGGGAAGTTGGTGATGTTAGTATCCTGATTAACAATGCCGGCGTTGTAACAGGGAAGAAATTCTTGGATTCTCCAGACTTGCTGATAGAGAAAACCATTGAAGTGAACATCATGGCACACTTCTGGGTAACAGATTTGAAATTAACTATAGAAGTACATTCAAATATGGATTGGATTTTGATATGTAAATTACTGTCACATAGAAGGTTTAATAGATACAGCATTCAATGGTTTACAGAATTTAAACAGATTTACCCTGACAGTTGTAAGTAATCTAAATCAAAAGGTAGCTAGGATAGAATGGCATTTCCTTTTTTGGAGAGTTATTGTCTCTAACAATTTAAGGATTTGGGTGGGGAAAATCTTTAAAATAAGCCTCCTCATAGTAAATTGGAAATCTGCCATTGTTGGCATCCAGGGTATCTTAAGTATTTTGGTAAAAGAGGTTGGAATTAACTTGCCAATAATATGGTGCAAATTTGCTAGGCTTTCTAGCATTTTACTGTAATTGACTAGAGCCCCATCCTGAGAGAAAGGATAATATTTGATCGAAATATATCCTCCTGTAACTTAAAACCATTTAATCTAGTTCTACCCTATGAGGCAGCAGTTCTACCCTATAAGGTAACATACTCCTTATTGTAGCAACCTTGGAAGTATTTAAAACAGTGGTTCCCAACCTGTGCTCCATGAACTACCATGCGTCCACAAGAACTAAAATATAGTCCTCAGCCTCACCCTTACTACACCGTTGCAATGAAAATGACTGGTCTCGCAATACTCTCTTATAGTGCCAAGGCTTATTAAATATGGTTTTCTGTGGGCAAGCAGATGCGACTACTGGATGGCATATGTTCTGTATCAGAAACTAGAGCTGATGTGGTCTATCCAATGCAGTTTTCTGAATCAGCACCCCAACTAACCAAAACATATCTAAAGTTGACCAAAAACCAATTCGTAAACCCTTTTGGTACTGATGTTGGAGAATGGTCCCTGGTCAAGTGGTCCCTGGTCAAAAAAAGGTTTACCAGATGTTAGGATTTCTGGGAGTTGAAGGCCAAAACATCTGGGGACCCACAAGTTGAGAACCACTGTATTAAAGCATTCTAGAATAGCATTCATCTTCATAGCAGCTGCATCACCTTGCTGGTTCATGTTTAACTTATGATCAACAGTCATCCCAAGCTTTTCAAAAATACAGTCATCCCTCCGCATTTGGGAGAAGTGGGAAGTGACCTTTTCAGAGAGAAAGAAGCAAAAATGTTTCAGTACATAGATCAAAGAAAGAAATTGAGAGGTGAAACAAAAGTGCGGGCATCTTCTCTAAAATCCCCTCTGACATTAATTATGCTATGCAAGTGTTGACGTCGCCTCACTTTCATTGGTTTGGCTTTTGCTTCTTTGGAGTTCAATATCTGAAGAGCCATTTACTGCCCGTTCCTCAAAATTGTCCATTAAAGTGTTTTGAGCCAATCTCGAGTGAGGTGAGGGGGTTGTGTTGATGCAAGGTGAATCCCACACAAGGATATAGTCTGTCAAGCTGTTCTTCATAGGACTTTTTGCAAAGTACAGGCAATCCCCAAGTTACAAACAAGATAGGTTCTGTATGTTTGTTCTTAAGTTGAATTTCTATGTAAGTTGGAACCGGTACATTTTTAGTGTAACTCCAGACAGCCTGTCTGTCTGTCTGTCTGTCTGTCTAGCTTTGGATGGCATAAGGAAGGGTTAACACCCTTGTGATGTTTGTTTTGCTGTTTGTGCCCCTGTTCAGAAGATTTCACCTCACTTTTTGTCCCTGTGATATTTTGATTTTGAAAAATTTGGTTTGTTGTGGAAAAAGCTTCAGTGGAGATACCTTTTCCCCATGATAACTCTTCCAGGAGTGAATTTCCCATCCAAAGGATAGGTTTTTCTGACTTCCTGTTGTCTTCACCCCCAGAGAGGAACATGATAACCATGTATAAATACATAATGAGAAGTCATAGGGAGGAGAGAGAGAACTTGTTTCCTGCTGCTCTGGAGATTAGGCGCGGAACAATGGCTTCAAACAACAGGAATGGAAATTCCACCTGAACATGAGGAAGAACTTCCTAACTGTGAGAGCTGTTTACCAGTGGAACTCTCTGCCCTGGAGTGTGGTGGAGGCTCCTTTTTCTGACAGAGGCTAGATGGCCATCTGTCAGAGGTGTCTGAATGCAGTTTTCCTGCTTCTTGGCAGGGGGTTGGACTGGATGGCCCATGAGGTCTCTTCCAACTTTATGATTCATAACTATGAGTCATTTGTAAATTGGATGCTTGTAACTCAAGGACTGCCTATAATCTGAGTATCAGTAAAATAGAAAATTCTGGTTTTTGTTTGAGTATCAAAAAAAGTTCAGACAGTAGTAAATCTGTTTCTTTCACTCACCAGAAGTTAAATTTAGCTTTAGACAGATAACACTAGTGGGTGTTGGTAAATACTCCTCATTAACATAGTTCTTTTAAAACAAGCCAACTATACTGATACTCCTATTCAGAAAGCTGTGAGCAGTCAGTACTTGCAGCAAGGAAGTCTTCTTCTATAATTTTGGTGCTGGTGCCCTCTAGTGGGCCATTAATATACAGAAAATAGGGATGTGCTTTATTCTCTATATTAAATTGAATTTTTCTTACAGAGTTTGAGAACAACATAACGTGGCATTATTTAATTTCTTATAATATCTGTGCAAAGTTTGGCTACTTGTATATTTTTGTCAGTGATGATTCTAATATTCAAAATACTTTGCAAGATATTATTTTGTTTTGAATCCAGTAATAGTTCCATGCAATTATGTTTTTAAAATGTTTCCACATCTATTATTATTTCTTCAATTGCTAACAGAGTAAAGCATGACCATTGCTAAAATCCAATGTAGGCTTAGCAAACCTTCTACAAGGTAAAGAAAGGTTACAGAGTTAATTGTAAGAAAAACAAATAATATACGAGTTTTCAAGTCTACATTAGTATCTTTTTAAGAATGAGCAAAAAACTACTGAAATAAACATGTGAATATTAATATTTTCTAAATGTCTTCTATATGATTTAAATATTATCAGTAGGAATGCTTTGATATGAAAACTATTTTAATGCTCATCCTAGCAGATGGAACATTTTAATGCTCCTTAGTCATTTTGTCACAGAAGCTTTATAAACATACATATAGATGTTTCACAGTACTATCAACTGAAGGATTTTAGACAACATTAACAAGTTCTTTTCAGAAATAAATATCTCTTTTGGCATTATATGCCAAAGAAACCAGGAACATTGGGTGTAAGTCCGATGCTGCTGCAGTGCTATTTTCCAAAGGGAGCTATTTCCTTAGCAAGCCAGCCTTGGATGCCAGAAGACCAAGCAGACTGTAGTGATGACACTAGATGGCAGAAAGGTTTTTTTCCCAGTTGGAAATTACAGTGGTAGTGTTTTGGACACATGAGTTACTGGTATATTGATTACTTCAATACATATACAAGTACTCACACCAAAGTAAGCTGTCAACCACAGAGCAGAAATTTTAGTCTTGTTTAAATATGTTTGCTGGTTCTGGGTGTTTGAGTATAGGGGTATTTTTCATTTCCTGAAATATGTTAGAATTCTCAATGTTAGAAAATATCCCAGAAGTCATCCAGTGTGTGTTTGTGTGTGGATGGATGAATTGTTGTTTATTTGTTCAGTCACTTCCAATTCTTCATGACCTCATGGACCAGCCCATGCCAGAGCTACCTGTCGGCCGTGACCACCCCCAGTTCCTTCAAAGTCAAGTTAGTCACTTCAAGGATACCATCCATCCATCTTGCCCTTGGTCGGCCCTTCTTCCTTTTTCCTTCCTTTTCCCCCAGTATCATTGTCTTCTCCAAGTTTTCCTGTCTTCTCATGATGTGGCCAAAGTACTTCATCTTGCCTCTAACATCCTTCCCTCCAATGAGCAATTGGGCTTTATTTCCTGGAGTATGGACTGGTTTGATCTTCTTGTGGTCCAAGGCACTCTCAGAATTTTCCTCGAGCACCACAGTTCAAAAGCGTCTATCTTCCTTTGCTCAGCCATCCTTATGCTCCAGCTGTTGCATCCATAGATTACTACAGGGAATACCATTGCTTTAATAATGCAGATCTTCATTGCCGGTGTGATGTCTTTACTCTTCATTGTTTTTGTCGAGATTGGTCATTGCTCTCCTCTCAAGAAGCTAATATTGGTAACCAGAAGATTAGAAGAGAGGGCAATTTATCTTGTGATATAATACTCATATTACTTTCTTAAATTAAATATGATTTCAATCAACAATGATAGTGTTATCTGATGATGAAGAAGTAGTATGAGATTGTGATTGTGAAATGATACTTTGGCTACCTGATAAGACTCATGAAGCTTTCCAGGGAAAATTATTATCTCACAACTAGTAGAGCAGCACGCACGTGTTATAACACACATGTCCCTCTGTTTCAATACATCAACCGACTTCCTGTGTTTTCTTCCTAGACTGTGAAGGCCTTTCTTCCAGCAATGATAGCCACTAATCATGGACACATCGTGACTATTGCAAGCTCAGCTGGGTTAATTGGCGTCACTGGACTAGCAGGTTAGTTCACAGCAGTTGTGTTGGAAGTACAAACAACACAGTACTTTCACTATTTTAGCTGCGGCCCCCTACCCATGCTTTGGAAAGGATATGTGAAGCAGTTGCATTCCAGATGTTAGATCAAAGAATTAACTTGATATGGTACTCACTTGTTGGTGAGACAAAGGATGTGTCTGCACTTTAGAATTAATCCAGTTTGACACTACTTTAACTGCTGCGGCTCAACAATATGAAATCATGGGAGTTGTAGCTTTTCAAAGTCTTTAGCCATCTCTGCCAAAGAGTGCTGATGCCAAAGCAAACTAGATATCCCAGGATACCATACCATAGAGCAGTGGTTCTCACTCTGTGGGTCCCCAGGTGTTTTGACCTATAACTCCCAGAAATCCCAACCAGTTTACCAGCTGTTAGGATTTCTGGGAGTTGAAGGCCAAAACATCTGGGGACCCACAAGTTGAAAATCACTGCCATAGAGCCATGGCAGTTAAAGTGGTGTCAAACCACTAGACGCGCCTTCACAGTACCACATTAATTTCAATATAAATGTGGAAGATTTCAAGAGGAATGGTTGTATTAGTAGAATCTGCTGCAGTATCTTGTAGACCAGTGGTTCTCGACCTTCCTAATGCCGCGACCCCTTAATGCAGTTCCTCATGTTGTGGTGACCCCCAATCATAAAATTATTTTTTGTGCTACTTCATAACTGTAATTTTGCCACTGTTATGGATCGTAATGTAAATATCTGATATGCAGTATCTATTTTCATTCACTGGACCAAATTTGGCACAAATACCCCATACACCCAAATTAGAATACTGGTGGGGTTGGGGGGAAATTGATTTTGTCATTTGCGAGTTGTAATTGCTGGGATTTATAGTTCACCTACAACCAAAGAGCATTCTGAACTCCACCAACAATGGAATTGAGCCAAACTTCCCACACAGAACCCTCATGACCAACAGAAAATTCTGTTTTCTGGTGGTTTTTGGTGATCCCTCTGAATCTCCCTCGCAACTCCCACAGCGGACCCAACCCCCAGGTTGAGAAAGCCTGTTGTAGACTCATAGGCCATAATTTAATTACAGAATCAAAACCCATGACACTTAATAGTTATGGAAGAGCAAGACTGAGTGAATGTGACCCCTTTCCTCTGCCCAAATTGCTTCCAGTGTTTCAGTAGGAAGGTTTCATAGATTATCTATGTACTTAAGACATTTGTAATGCTTCATTTATGTACATGGTGTATATGAATTATAATTAGCATATTATTCATTTGTATAGCACTCCCAGTGTCCATGTCATTTCACAGAATGAAACAATAGAAGTTCACATGCTACTTCTGAAATCCTAGTAGCTGAAATCTGTAGCATTTCAACTGAGCCCATTTCCAGTACTCTGGAAATGCAGTTTATGTTTCAGTAGGAAACATCCAGTACAGCATTATAAGATGTTCCAGATAATTTTATAGTGTGCTAATGGTGTCATCATTGTTCCTTACAGCTTATAACAGCCTTTTCCAACCTGATGCCTTTAATGTGTTGTCGAAGGCTTTCGTGGCCAGAATCACTGGGTTGCTGTGAATTTTCCAGGCTATATGGCCATGTTCCAGAAGCATTCTCTCCTGACATTTTGCCCACATCTATGGCAGGCATCCTCAGAGGTTGTGAGGTCTGTTGGAAACTAGGCAAGTGAGGTTTATATATCTGTGGAATGTTCAAGGTGGGAGAAAAACTATTTGTCTCTTTGAGGCAAGAGTGAATGTTGCAATTGGTCCTGATTGATTCCATTGAAATCTACAAGTATGTGGACAATTTCAACAGAAAAGAGGAAATCATGAAAATGAACAATATCTGACTACCAATATCTTTAAAAACTCCAAAATTAGGACAATAAAGAAAGAGCAACACCCAAAAAACGGGAATTCCAGACAAGAATCAATCAGGGCCAGCTAACACCTCCCAACTAGCCAGGCTTTGAAGCTGCAAGGCAATTAAATGCTAATCAAAGTAGCCCGTTGCAACATTCACACTTGCCTCGAACAGACAAGTTCTTTCTCCCATCCTGGACATTCCACAGATATTGCCTAGTTTCCAACAGACCTCACAACCTCTGAGGATGCCTGCCATAGATGTGGGCAAAACGTCAGGAGGGAATGCTTCTGGAACATGGCCATACAGCAACTCATGGATGCCTTTAGTTCTGTCAAGTAGTTTACTTCAGCTTCCTGAAGTTAGTGAAAGTTATAGGCTAACATTCTTGGAGGGCACCTGGTTGGAGAAGGCTAACTAAGAGCCCTTGAAACTAACCTAATATTGCTGGGAGATTTATTTAGATCCTCTGGAATTAAATTAACCTCATCATAAATCAGAAAGTCTTCCTTTTGAATTCTGTGATAGGTTCTTCATAGTTAAGGCATCAAGATCCAGACTACAATCTCAATTTGGATAGTACATTTTAAGCAATTAAGTGATAATATTTTCACAGAAATCGGTTTGGTAAAATAGAAAAGGACTTTAAAAAGACAATTGGGCTGCTGAGGTTTTACTCAGCATGCTATTGCATGAGGGCTACCAACATTGCAAAGCATGTTGTGTTTTTAGTCAGCTGGGGAATAAGCAATTGCTAGGAGCATAATCTTCCTAGGCAAAAAAAAAAAAAGCCATGGAAAATCTGCTGTGAAAATAAATTAATCTGTCAAATAATATTCCAAATTCATGACAGGAAACTGAAAGCTCCTGCAGCTTTTGCCAAAGTTTTTGAATTAGTTGGAAAAACAATAGAGCCTTTTGTACATAGTATTGATAACCAGATCATAGAATACAACGGGAGACATAAAGGAATAGGTGGCAGACATACTTTTGCTGAACACGTTGTAACTATGGTACAGTAGGTTCATACATGTCTCTAAAGAAGGAATTCTTAGATGCATTCTCACTCTTGTGCCAGTGTTAAGATGTGATGCATTGCTGCAGCAAGGACAAAAATAAAAGTTGAAGTGAATTACAGATTGATTGCGAGGGACAATGAAGATTGTAATTTTTTCAGGAAATGCTATATTAAACAATATAAATTGTGAAAAGGATTACCAGCTTTTAAATTAAGTTGCAAAAGAAAATTAAGACTTTCACTGTCAGCCACCTGTGTGATTTATGTGTCCTAAGATAGTGACAAATTTAAATGGTTTCCAGTAGAAAAAAATATCTTGCTTTACACAAATCTTGTACTGCTACAATATTTCTGGTTTTCTCCTTACTTTACAGATTACTGTGCAAGTAAGTTTGCAGCAGTCGGCTTCGCTGAATCTCTGGCTGTAGAAATGTTGACAATGGGAAAGACTGGTATTAAATCTACAATTGTCTGCCCATATTTTATTAACACTGGAATGTTTGATGGCTGTCAAACAAAGTAAGTTAACTTCATATATTTTCAGGCTGATCACCTTAAAATTATTTATTGCGTAATGAAGATGTAACAGGAATTTCCATGGCACTTTAATACTTCTCAGGTTGTAGTAGAAGTCCATTTTGACTAACTGATATGTGCATATGTTGGTGAGTGCATATGAACATTTTGAGTAATAGTGTGTGTTTTCTATTTTCATTTTAGCAGTTATTTGGAATACATTTTCACCATAGGTTGACTACTGGTAATTTAACCTAGGGTTTCTTAAACTTTTTTCTACTTGCGACCCCTTTCTCCCTAAGAAATTTTCATGTGACCTTGGGTATATACGAGGGGCCTTCATTAAAGATTTCCCCTGACTCACTTCCTGTGGACTGAGAGCAATTAAACTTGGAACAGTTATTAGTACTTCTCTACATAGGTGCCACCTAGGGACACATATTTTATAAGCAACTGTAAACACCTCACTTGTAGAAGTCAACAGGTTGTTCCAAAAGCCACGTTGTGACTTCGGAAATCAAAGACTCATCATCTGAAAAATGCTTGCCCTTCAAAAATAACTTCATTGTTGGAAAGATGTGGAATTCCAATGGTGCAAAGTTGGGTGAATAACAGGGACGCGGTAGAATTTCAAAGCCACAAGAGCATGCTTCCATTTTGGCAACATGTGAGTTGTGAACTGGTGCATTGTCTTGCAAAAGGCAGACACCTTTAGTGAGCATGCCACGTCTCTTGGTTTTGAAAGCCTCCCGCAATTTCCACAGCAGTGAAACATAGTATGTCCCAGTGATCATGGTACACTTTGCTAGGAAATCCATCAATACTACTCTGTGCTTGTCCCAAAATACTGTGAGCATGACCTTGCCTGCCGAGAGCTGGCCACGCGCCTTCTTTGAAGGTGGCGAGTCATGATGCTTCCATTAAATCAACTGGACTTTGTCTCAGGATCATAGTGATGGACCCAGCTTTCATCCTGTGTGATCGCTCTGTTGAGAAAGTCCTCCTGGTTTCCATGGCACATTGTCAATAGAGCCCAAGAGCATTCAACTCACTCCTGCTTCTGGAAAGGTGTGAGCAGCTGGGGGAACCAGCAAGCAGATACCTTATGCATGTGAAGATGGACTTGGATTATTTTTTCCATGGACCCTACACTAATCTTGATATTTTGGGCTAGGTGGCGAATGGTTAAGCAGAGATTTTCCAAAATGGCGACCTCCACTTGCTGGATGGTGTTTTCATCAATAGCAGAGTGGGATTGCCCTGGAATTGGAGCTGTTTCCACTGAAGTCCAATCACATTTGAATTGACAATGCCAGTTCTTGAGTACATCATATGATGGGAATCATCACCATAAATCTTTCATCTCATTGAATGTCTCCTTTGGTGTGCGGCCTTTCACATAAAGGAACTTGAAGATTGCTCCGTATTCCACTGGGTCCATTATCAAACCTCACACCTCTTCAGCATCTGTAAATCAAGACCGTTACCAGTTCTGAGTTGTACATTGGCACATAACCTATAGAGACATATATCATTACACATGTGCAGTTTCAGTGTCCTATGATAAATAGAAGTGGGTCAGGGAAAATCTTTAATGAATTGATATATAAAATAGACTAATTTTCATTTTTGTGGAGTACTCTTGAAGCATTTTCTGCAGAGTCTTAATACAAAAACTTAACACAAAAACGTCTTTATTTTTGGTTTTCAAAAATAAAGAGGGTGAAATACCAAAAATTTTGATGAACTCTGAACACTTTTGTGGGAGGGATGGCACCTGAAATAATGAATCAAATTGAGATAAGCAGATAGCTTTCTTGGGTTAATGTGGTCCTGGTTCAATTTCAATTCTTACAAAAATGCAAAATTGTCAATAAGAGAATGTAGCTTGTCACCAAACTTATTTTTTGGAAGACAGCACATGAGGCACAGGAAGAGGCAGGTAATAAATTCATGTTTAAACATTTGTATTTACTGTATGAAATATTTCTCTTAAAAAACTTGAATACTCCACTATCACAGGTCTTGTAATGGGATGTTCCTTATATCAGAAAATTTCAATTTGAAAACCTGTCAGTTGAACAGGTGTATTTTATGAACATTTATGACCTCTTATCTGAAAGTAGTGAAAATGGGAAAAGGCTGACCATCCAGAACTGTGCTTCTGTAATGTCTCTTACCAGGTGGCCACGTGTCCTGCCCATTCTAGATGCAGAGTATGCAGCTGAAAAAATAGTCTCTGGTGTGCTGCGGGATCAGGTGTATGTCTATATTCCACGGAGCATATACATTTTCAGTGCACTTAAAAGGTAATTGTGACATTTTCCTTTTTACATCCCTTTCTCATTCCCACTTGTTCTAAAGCAGTAGTTCCCAATCTTTTTTTTTACCAGGGCCCACTTTGACCAGGATCCATTTGAACAGGGCCCACTTGACCTGGACACACTTGTTGCAAATCAACAAAATAGTTATAATAGTAATGATGATGATAACTAAATGGCTGCAGGATTTCCATCCCATTGTAAGCAATGCCAAATTGTAGAGACCCATAGCATTATGCAGGGCTGAAAACATATACTGTCTTTTTCTCTTTTGTTCAAGCATGGCCAATAAACCCTTTACCCACCTTATACTGGTGTGCTAATTGCACTTGACTGCAAAAGAACTGGACCCAAGCATAGTGATATTTGCTATATATGGAGTCACCTCTGATAAGTATGTGAAAAATAGATTTGGTCCACAAAGCAACATGTCCAGAGTAGTAAGCAGCTGATTTTAGAATGGCTGCACTGGTTACATTTCTAGACAGACTTGAGAATGTTGGCTATTTACTATGGTTTGTATGGCTTGGGCCCAGGATAACTCAGATTGCTTCCTTTCATCCTACATAAGCCTTAAAATCCAATGGGGAAGCAGCTATATTCCTATTCAAGCAGATCAAAGATTTGAGAGGGTTTTCCAAGCGCACTCGGTTAAGGACTTCTATTCAACAAGCAAGGGTCATAATTTTCTTTTGTGGTCATCAGGTTAAAACTGTTTTGTTATGGCAGGCTTTTATTGGCCACTCTAGATTATCTGCTGATTGCCATTTTAATTATCTGCCAAACTGTTTCTGTAAACAATTCTTTTCTTTCTTTTTTAAGAATGACAAGAAGTAAATACTGGTATATCTTAAAGGTTTAACATTCAATTGTTCATGCTCTTTCTCTTCTCTTTGTAGTATACTGTCAGCGAAAATGTTTTTTCTTGCCGGAGAATATGTGGGATCTTTCCATTTTATGGATAAGTTCAGAGGACGGACAAAGACAACTGATAACAGAACATCAGAAAGCAACAATAAAAACTCCAAGTTCACATGACTCAGTTGTGTACAGTAAAGCAGATGTATAGAATTTCTATATTATTTTCTGACTACTGAGAACATACAGTTTATGTCTGAAACATCAACACTAGATACTACTATTTGCAAGAAATAAAATCCAGTTTTAACCCAAGTTGGTCGTATATGAATATAATTATACTACATATATTTTAATTACTGCAATGTCTTTTTATTTATAGATTGATGCTTTATCAGACTTGTATCACTTTTGGATATAACATTCAAATATCAAAAATGTTATTGTATTTCTAATTTCACCTTTTATAAATAAAAATGCTAAACAGTGGCAATAATGAATATAAATTTTCTATACATTGTATTTCTTCTTTCTGAAGGACTTGAGGTATGCATCATGTTATCATCAAAATAATATTGTGAGCCTGAATTTTCCGAAGCACAGTGGCAGCTGGGCTAGTCTGTTGAATCCCAAATATTTTATACAACAGAAACAGGAAAGTGAATCACATGAATTTTAAATGTGGTGTGTGTCTGTAGTGGAATATCCAGTAATGATAATTATTCTCAGAACCACAGAGAAATTTGTCCACAACATTTCAAATATAAATATTGTCCAAGCCCACCAGAAAATTTAAAAATAAAATACCTAAATGAAATAATATAAGGACCTTTAAAATATAATTCTTTTCTTTTTTTGGGCAAACTTATTCGTACTAGTTCTCTGACGCTTGGGTAAGATGTGCTGACCTGGTTGTCTTGCTGCCTTGTGCCCATTTTTTAAAATGTCTCATTTTCTTATGACTTAGGTAAAGGTTTTCCCCTAACATTAAGTTCAGTTGTGTCCAACTCTGGGGGTTGGTGCTCATCTCTATTTCTAAGCCAAAGAGCTGGAGTTGTCCGTAGACACCTCCAAGGTCATGTGGCTGGCAAGACTGCATGGACACTGTTACCTTCCCGCCTGAGCGGTACCTATTGATCTACTCACATTTGCATGTTTTCAAACTGCTACGTTGGCAGAAGCTGGGGCTGACAGTAGAATCTCACGCCACTCCCTGGATTCGAACCTGCAACCTTTCAGTCATCTAGTTCAGCAGCTCATCTGTTTAACCTGCTGTGCCACCAGGGACTCCTTATTACTTACCATCATTTCAATTTATTATTTCTTTCTTTCTAACATGATTATATTTTCATTGTCTTGCTTTTAAAACATCCTTCTTGAACACTTGTTCTCACATTCTGGTACCCACAGAATCTCACCCACCACTAAATGTCTTCAAATATGCTTTTCTACAGTCAACTGTAGAAACTGTTTTGATTTCAACACACAAAGATGGCACAGGAATGGTTCTGTTTTTGAGGAATCACTGCAATGAGTGTGTGCTTATATTATGTATATGTGTATATATACACACTCATAGAAAAGAGCAAACATCATGAAGGGCCCTTTATATATGCTATGGTGTTGGATGCCATCTATGAGATGTAATTTTTCCGACACAACATTCATATATTTCTGCCCTATATAAAATCATAGTGCTTGCATTGTTAGAATGGTGGTGAGGGATCTGTAAGATAATGCTTGTTCCATCAAGGTTGTTTTTTTACTGTTTTAATCTATCACACAAATGAAAATCCATATTTTAATCAAAGAAAATATTTCTTGTATTCAGCAACTGCATAAAGTCTGCACGCCTATCTATAAAACATTTTAAAACATGCACACCAACCTAATAGTCAATGTGTCCCTCTCTCCTAAATTTTTATTTATTTAAATATTTATATTCCACTTTAATACACAGATGACTTGACAAATTAAAAACTGTAAAGAAAGTGAAAGACAGAGAAGCATAAAAGTGATTCAAAGAAGTCCAGAACACAGAACCACCATGCGGATCACAGCATATGTTCCAAGAGGAGAGGCCAGTGTCTAGTTTTTGGTGTCATACCATCTTCTGGTGTTTAATCATTTTCATTTTGAGTCATCCTGATCGTGTCTGTGAGACCACTGCAAAATGTTTTCCTCGTGGTTCATGTCCATCTTCAGCCATTTATTTGTAACAAATGCATAGAACATGATCTAAGCAACAGAGTCTTTCCAAATAAGACAGTCTTGTGTATCTAATCATTCCCTTTCAGTATCCTTTCCACATTCCTATGCAACCTTCAGCATGAAAGTAGTAAAAATATTGTGTCCCAAGTAGCACTTCACCTTTTGCCTCTTACATCACCCCCTATAAAGTTCCTTGATTGCTGCTCCCATTACTCATAAAAGTGATTATATATGTTCCACCCAAGACTTAGTCATGGCCACTGTTCTGAAAGGGGATTATGAAAATTCATGAATTCATAGCTACTTGTTATGATAGTACAGATAATACTCAACTACGCCTTTCCACCTCAAGCCAAGGTGGCAGCCCAGGTCATAAAACTGTGCCTGTCATCATTAATGGACTGGGTGAGTGCAAACTAATTGAAACTCTGTCCAAACAAGACAAAGGTGCTCCTGATCAGTGGGAAGGCAGATTATGGGAAAGGGATTCAGCATGCATCAAGTGGGGTTGACATTTGGAGTGTACTTCCGGACTCAGGTTCATATTTGGGGCATACTTCTAGCAGCTTTCAATACCATCAACTATGGTATTCTTCTGTAATACATCTCACAAGGTGTCATTTGATCCCCAATGCTTTTTAATATTTACATGAAACTGCTGGGAGAGATCATCTGGAAGCACTGGGTGGGGTGCTATCAATATGTAGATGACACCCAAATATATTTCTCCATGCTTTCAAAAACAGCCTTAGCTAAGGATAGCATATCTCCTCTGAATGAATGTCTGGAGAAGATAATGGGCTAGATGAAGCAAAACAAATTGAAACTGAATCCAGACAAAACAAAGGTGCTTGCTATCAAGGGTACTAATCTGGGGTGGAGGTGTGTCAACCAGACTTGGATGGAGTTGTACTCCCCTTGAAAGACTGTCTACTCCTGGATCCATTTCTCCAAATGTCAGCACAGGCAGATGTGACAGTCAGGAGAGCCTACTACCAACTTCGACTGATATGCCAGCTGCACCTCTTCCTACATTTGGAGGACCTAAAGATGGTAGTGCATGCACTGGAAACCTCAAGGTTTGACTTCTGCAATATGCTTTACATTAGACTACCTTTGCATCAAATTTAAAAACTCCAATTGGTTAAAATACGGCAGCCAGATCGGTTACAGGAACATTAAGGAGCATATTACACCTATCCTAAAGTCACTCCACTAGCTACCAGTTTCTGAGTGCTAGTTTTGACCTCTAAAGCCCTACATGGTTTGGGTCCAGGTTATCTACAGGATCGCCTGTTCCTGTCCAATCCACCCCAAACCTTAGGTCCTCTGGGGCGGGGCGGGGGGGGGGGGGGGGGGGGGGGGTCTACTCCAACCTGCCAGAACCTGATGTGACCATCTCTCAGAGGAGCTATCTCTTCCAGCAGGCCAGTCAGTTTTAATCACAAATTTTAAACTGGGGTCTTATATTTATTTTATGTCTTCTGTGTTTTTTAATACGTATTTTGTAGAATTTTTTTAATATGTGCACTTTATAGGTTTTTTTTTTTTAGATGTTTATGCGTTTTTAGCAAAGTTGTAACCCTCCTTGAGAGGCAGGTGAGAAAATCATCATCATCATCCTTCTAGACTCAGCACTGAACCTGGAGGGCCATGTTTGTGTAGTGGCCATGAGTATCTTCACACTTCTAAAACTTGTGATTCAAAGAACTATAGGCAGATTGCTAACTGGAGCTAGCTACAGGAAGAACACATCTCCATAGTAGCAACAGTCCTACCAGTTGCCATTTGTTTCTGGACACAATTCAAAGGGTTGGTTACAACCTATAAAGTTATATATGGCTCAGGCCATATATCCCAGAGCTCTGAGATGTGTTTTAGCAATGTTGTAACCCTCCTTGAGAGGCAGGTAAGAAATAAAATCAGCATAACCTTTATTACAATATCATTTGTTTACAAATTGTCAATAAGAACCACTGACAAGCAAAAACAATATCTTACTTGCATATCACTAAACAAATGCAGTGGCTTTGACTTTACAAATGCTGGTCTGCACAATTACCTTGCTTTTCCTGTTCTTCGTGTTTGAAACAGCCAATGTTGAACTAGTGCACACCTAGCATAACAAAGATATTATGTTTGTATTTTCTTAGGCGATTGTAATACTGTTAGAATCTAGAATCAGAATCAATCATCCCAATTTAATTACTACTAACTATAGATTCTGGCAACAGACAGGATTTCTGAGGAAAGTGGTCACTTACAATCAAGCATGTCACTTGCACAGTGGGCATCAGAAAGCCTACAGAGAAGCAATCAGAAGTCCTTCTGTATTCATATAGTGAAAATGTGCATTTCCATCCCATATTACAGAAAGCAAGAATATGAGGTAAGATAGTTACTTGTCTACTTTGCCTATGGTAACATTCAACCTCCTTCTCATGAATATATATTTCATTGATTTAAATCATAAATTTAATTTTGTTTCCAATATGGAACATTTACCACCCACAATGTAAAAATCCAACAAATAAATTCATAGTGTTACTTCATATTGGTGTCAAATCTCAAATCTGTAGCACAAGATCAGGGATGTGCAACCCTTGCGGATCCCCAGGAAACCTTGGAGAGACAACTGCTACAGGCTATTTTTGGATCCCAAATGTTGTCAAATGTCTTGTAGGAGCATGTGGAGCATTTTCCCCATGTTCCTGGGCACCTGTGGGTCATTTTAAGCTAAAGAAAGATCCTTCCTTAGAACCAGAAACAACCCAAAAGTCATGTCATATTCACTCATTAGTTTTTTTAAAAGGTTATTTCTGTGTTCCGAATACCCTTCCCCTCAGGCAAAAACATTCCCAGAAGGCACTTGGGGCAAAAATTGGGGCATTCAGGAAAATTCTTCTTTATTTTTGCATCAAGGCCAGCATCTTGTCACCCTGTGCTAAATATTTAAAATGCTAAGGGAAAAAATCTCTTGGCTAATTTCCTGAGCTTGCTTGAGACAACAACTTTCTAATTTCTTAATTACTTTTTAGTACAATCCCTCAGCCAAATTGTTTTTGATATAACAGCAAACACTGTACAAAGACATCTTTCAATATGACAGTGCCTGCTAAACATTTGGTTCTAACTTCATATATTAACATACCAAAATGACGAGCCCAACTTGTATAAAATACAAACCAGACTTGCCCACAATGAAATGAAGGCAGCAACTTTTATTTTAGAAACACATTTCTGTTACCAATATATGTCATAGAGAGATGGAATGAGGTGGGGGAAGGGGAAGCTG